CCAGCAGATGTCCCTGACTCCATGACTGACTCACCACTCTGTTATGAGACTGCTGTGGCCCCCAAGGGCCATCCAGTCGGGCCCCCTTCTGCTGTAAGGAAAGGAAGGCACCCCTTGACCCCTCCCAGCAGATGTCCCTGACTCCATGACTGACTCACCACTCTGTTATGAGACTGCTGTGGCCCCCAAGGGCCATCCAGTCGGGCCCCCTTCTGCTCTAAGGAAAGGAAGGCACCCCTCGACCCCTCCCAGCAGATGTCCCTGACTCCATGACTGACTCACCACTCTGTTATGAGACTGCTGTGACCCCCAAGGGCCATCCAGTCGGGCCCCCTTCTGCTGTAAGGAAAGGAAGGCACCCCTTGACCCCTCCGGGCAGATGTCCCTGACTCCATGACTGACTCACCACTCTGTTATGAGACTGCTGTGACCCCCAAGGGCCATCCAGTCGGGCCCCCTTCTGCTCTAAGGAAAGGAAGGCACCCCTCGACCCCTCCCAGCAGATGTCCCTGACTCCATGACTGACTCACCACTCTGTTATGAGACTGCTGTGACCCCCAAGGGCCATCCAGTCGGGCCCCCTTCTGCTCTAAGGAAAGGAAGGCACCCCTTGACCCCTCCCAGCAGATGTCCCTGACTCCCTGACTGACTCACCACTCTGTTATGAGACTGCTGTGACCCCCAAGGGCCATCCAGTCGGGCCCCCTTCTGCTGTAAGGAAAGGAAGGCACCCCTTGACCCCTCCCGGCAGATGTCCCTGCCTCCTTGGCTGACTCACCACTCTGTTATGAGACTCCTGTGGCCCCCAAGGGCCATCCAGTCGGGCCCCCTTCTGCTGTAAGGAAAGGAAGGCACCCCTCGACCCCTCCGGGCAGATGTCCCTGCCTCCTTGGGTGACTCACCACTCTGTTATGAGACTCCTGTGGCCCCCAAGGGCCATCCAGTCGGGCCCCCTTCTGCTGTAAGGAAAGGAAGGCACCCCTCGACCCCTCCGGGCAGATGTCCCTGACTCCCTGGCTGACTCACCACTCTGTTATGAGACTCCTGTGGCCCCCAAGGGCCATCCAGTCGGGCCCCCTTCTGCTGTAAGGAAAGGAAGGCACCCCTCGACCCCTCCGGGCAGATGTCCCTGCCTCCATGACTGACTCACCACTCTGTTATGAGACTCCTGTGGCCCCCAAGGGCCATCCAGTCGGGCCCCCTTCTGCTGTAAGGAAAGGAAGGCACCCCTTGACCCCTCCCAGCAGATGTCCCTGACTCCATGACTGACTCACCACTCTGTTATGAGACTGCTGTGACCCCCAAGGGCCATCCAGTCGGGCCCCCTTCTGCTGTAAGGAAAGGAAGGCACCCCTCGACCCCTCCCAGCAGATGTCCCTGCCTCCATGACTGACTCACCACTCTGTTATGAGACTGCTGTGACCCCCAAGGGCCATCCAGTCGGGCCCCCTTCTGCTGTAAGGAAAGGAAGGCACCCCTTGACCCCTCCCAGCAGATGTCCCTGACTCCATGACTGACTCACCACTCTGTTATGAGACTGCTGTGACCCCCAAGGGCCATCCAGTCGGGCCCCCTTCTGCTGTAAGGAAAGGAAGGCACCCCTTGACCCCTCCCAGCAGATGTCCCTGACTCCATGACTGACTCACCACTCTGTTATGAGACTGCTGTGACCCCCAAGGGCCATCCAGTCGGGCCCCTTCTGCTCTAAGGAAAGGAAGGCACCCCTCGACCCCTCCGGGCAGATGTCCCTGACTCCATGACTGACTCACCACTCTGTTATGAGACTGCTGTGGCCCCCAAGGGCCATCCAGTCGGGCCCCCTTCTGCTGTAAGGAAAGGAAGGCACCCCTCGACCCCTCCGGGCAGATGTCCCTGCCTCCATGACTGACTCACCACTCTGTTATGAGACTGCTGTGACCCCCAAGGGCCATCCAGTCGGGCCCCCTTCTGCTCTAAGGAAAGGAAGGCACCCCTTGACCCCTCCCAGCAGATGTCCCTGCCTCCATGACTGACTCACCACTCTGTTATGAGACTGCTGTGACCCCCAAGGGCCATCCAGTCGGGCCCCCTTCTGCTGTAAGGAAAGGAAGGCACCCCTTGACCCCTCCCAGCAGATGTCCCTGCCTCCATGACTGACTCACCACTCTGTTATGAGACTGCTGTGACCCCCAAGGGCCATCCAGTCGGGCCCCCTTCTGCTCTAAGGAAAGGAAGGCACCCCTCGACCCCTCCCAGCAGATGTCCCTGCCTCCATGACTGACTCACCACTCTGTTATGAGACTGCTGTGACCCCCAAGGGCCATCCAGTCGGGCCCCCTTCTGCTGTAAGGAAAGGAAGGCACCCCTTGACCCCTCCCAGCAGATGTCCCTGACTCCATGACTGACTCACCACTCTGTTATGAGACTGCTGTGGCCCCCAAGGGCCATCCAGTCGGGCCCCCTTCTGCTGTAAGGAAAGGAAGGCACCCCTCGACCCCTCCCAGCAGATGTCCCTGACTCCATGACTGACTCACCACTCTGTTATGAGACTGCTGTGGCCCCCAAGGGCCATCCAGTCGGGCCCCCTTCTGCTCTAAGGAAAGGAAGGCACCCCTCGACCCCTCCCAGCAGATGTCCCTGACTCCATGACTGACTCACCACTCTGTTATGAGACTGCTGTGACCCCCAAGGGCCATCCAGTCGGGCCCCCTTCTGCTGTAAGGAAAGGAAGGCACCCCTTGACCCCTCCCAGCAGATGTCCCTGACTCCATGACTGACTCACCACTCTGTTATGAGACTGCTGTGGCCCCCAAGGGCCATCCAGTCGGGCCCCCTTCTGCTCTAAGGAAAGGAAGGCACCCCTCGACCCCTCCCAGCAGATGTCCCTGACTCCATGACTGACTCACCACTCTGTTATGAGACTGCTGTGGCCCCCAAGGGCCATCCAGTCGGGCCCCCTTCTGCTGTAAGGAAAGGAAGGCACCCCTTGACCCCTCCGGGCAGATGTCCCTGACTCCATGACTGACTCACCACTCTGTTATGAGACTCCTGTGGCCCCCAAGGGCCATCCAGTCGGGCCCCCTTCTGCTCTAAGGAAAGGAAGGCACCCCTCGACCCCTCCCAGCAGATGTCCCTGACTCCATGACTGACTCACCACTCTGTTATGAGACTCCTGTGGCCCCCAAGGGCCATCCAGTCGGGCCCCCTTCTGCTCTAAGGAAAGGAAGGCACCCCTTGACCCCTCCCAGCAGATGTCCCTGACTCCATGGCTGACTCACCACTCTGTTATGAGACTCCTGTGGCCCCCAAGGGCCATCCAGTCGGGCCCCCTTCTGCTCTAAGGAAAGGAAGGCACCCCTCGACCCCTCCGGGCAGATGTCCCTGCCTCCTTGGGTGACTCACCACTCTGTTATGAGACTCCTGTGGCCCCCAAGGGCCATCCAGTCGGGCCCCCTTCTGCTGTAAGGAAAGGAAGGCACCCCTCGACCCCTCCGGGCAGATGTCCCTGCCTCCATGACTGACTCACCACTCTGTTATGAGACTCCTGTGGCCCCCAAGGGCCATCCAGTCGGGCCCCCTTCTGCTGTAAGGAAAGGAAGGCACCCCTCGACCCCTCCGGGCAGATGTCCCTGCCTCCTTGGGTGACTCACCACTCTGTTATGAGACTCCTGTGGCCCCCAAGGGCCATCCAGTCGGGCCCCCTTCTGCTGTAAGGAAAGGAAGGCACCCCTCAACCCCTCCCAGCAGATGTCCCTGACTCCATGACTGACTCACCACTCTGTTATGAGACTGCTGTGGCCCCCAAGGGCCATCCAGTCGGGCCCCCTTCTGCTCTAAGGAAAGGAAGGCACCCCTCGACCCCTCCGGGCAGATGTCCCTGCCTCCTTGGGTGACTCACCACTCTGTTATGAGACTCCTGTGGCCCCCAAGGGCCATCCAGTCGGGCCCCCTTCTGCTCTAAGGAAAGGAAGGCACCCCTCGACCCCTCCGGGCAGATGTCCCTGCCTCCTTGGGTGACTCACCACTCTGTTATGAGACTCCTGTGACCCCCAAGGGCCATCCAGTCGGGCCCCCTTCTGCTCTAAGGAAAGGAAGGCACCCCTCGACCCCTCCGGGCAGATGTCCCTGCCTCCTTGGGTGACTCACCACTCTGTTATGAGACTCCTGTGGCCCCCAAGGGCCATCCAGTCGGGCCCCCTTCTGCTGTAAGGAAAGGAAGGCACCCCTCGACCCCTCCCAGCAGATGTCCCTGACTCCATGACTGACTCACCACTCTGTTATGAGACTGCTGTGGCCCCCAAGGGCCATCCAGTCGGGCCCCCTTCTGCTCTAAGGAAAGGAAGGCACCCCTCGACCCCTCCGGGCAGATGTCCCTGCCTCCATGACTGACTCACCACTCTGTTATGAGACTGCTGTGACCCCCAAGGGCCATCCAGTCGGGCCCCCTTCTGCTGTAAGGAAAGGAAGGCACCCCTTGACCCCTCCCAGCAGATGTCCCTGACTCCATGACTGACTCACCACTCTGTTATGAGACTGCTGTGACCCCCAAGGGCCATCCAGTCGGGCCCCCTTCTGCTCTAAGGAAAGGAAGGCACCCCTCGACCCCTCCCAGCAGATGTCCCTGACTCCATGACTGACTCACCACTCTGTTATGAGACTCCTGTGGCCCCCAAGGGCCATCCAGTCGGGCCCCCTTCTGCTCTAAGGAAAGGAAGGCACCCCTCGACCCCTCCGGGCAGATGTCCCTGCCTCCATGGCTGACTCACCACTCTGTTATGAGACTCCTGTGGCCCCCAAGGGCCATCCAGTCGGGCCCCCTTCTGCTCTAAGGAAAGGAAGGCACCCCTCAACCCCTCCCAGCAGATGTCCCTGACTCCATGACTGACTCACCACTCTGTTATGAGACTCCTGTGGCCCCCAAGGGCCATCCAGTCGGGCCCCCTTCTGCTGTAAGGAAAGGAAGGCACCCCTCGACCCCTCCGGGCAGATGTCCCTGCCTGCCTCCTCGGGTGACTCACCAGTCGGCGGCCTCGGGGGCGCTGAGGCACCCTGCGCGGAGGGCGTCCTGGACCTGAACCTCGCTGAAGCCCATCTCGTAGAGGGTCCCCAGGAGGTCGCCCAGCGTCTGCGGAGGAGGAGGGAGAAGGGGAAGAAGGGGCTCAGCCTCTGGGGAGGGGGTGAGGAAGAGGGGGGCCCTGCTCCCCTTCCTCCTTCCCTCCCCTTCCCCCTCGCTCACCTTGGGGCCCTCCTGCTCCATCTCGGGGCCCCCTCCTCCTTTGCTTGACCCACACCCAGGCAGCCCCCCCTCTCTCTCCAGCCAGCCAGCCAGGCTGCACCAAGGCGGAAGTCGGGCCCCGATTGGCTGAGCCCGTGACGTCAGGGAACCGCAGCCCTCCCTCCTGCCCTCCCCATCAACCGAGAGCAAAGCGGCGAGGCTTCCCAATGCTCAACAAGGTGGGCCAGGGCAACATTCACACCTCCCTCCCTCCATCCAACAGGCAAGAGTTCTCTCTTTCTTTCTTTCTCCCACCCTGGACATCATTCCACAAATAAAGAAACCCCCCTTGCCTACTTTCCAACAGAACCCTCTGCTTCCAAGGATGCCTGCCAGAGATGTTGGAAGCAGCCAGGCTCTGAAGCTGCAAGGCTATTCAATGCTAATCAAGGTGGGCCATGGCAACATTCACACTTCCTTCAAGGCAAGAGTTCTTTCTTTCTCCCACCCAGGACACCATTCCACAGATACAGAAACCCCACTTGCCTACTTTCCCACAGAACCCTCTGCTTCGAAGGATGCTTGCCATAGATGTTGGAAGCAGCCAGGCTCTGAAGCTGCAAGGCTATTCAATGCTAATCAAGGTGGGCCATGGCAACATTCACACTTCCTTCAAGGCAAGAGTTCTTTCTTTCTCCCACCCAGGACATCATTCCACAGATATAGAAACCCCCCTTGCCTACTTTCCAACAAAACCCTCTGCTTCCAAGGATGCCTGCCAGAGATGTTGGAAGCAGCCAGGCTCTGAAGCTGCAAGGCTATTCAATGCTAATCAAGGTGGGCCATGGCAACATTCACACTTCCTTCAAGGCAAGAGTTCTTTCTTTCTCCCACCCAGGACACCATTCCACAGATACAGAAACCCCACTTGCCTAGTTTCCCACAAAACCTTCTGCTTCTAAGGATGTTGGGAGCAGCCAGGCTCTGAAGCTGCAAGGCTATTCAATGCTAATCAAGGTGGGCCATGGCAACATTCACACTTCCTTCAAGCACACCAGAGTTCTTTCTCCCACCCTGGACACCATTCCACAGACATATAAACCCCACTTGCCTCGTTTCCAACAAAACCCTCTGCTTCTAAGGATGCCTGCCAGAGATGTCGGGAGCAGCCAGGCTCTGAAGCTGCAAGGCTATTCAATGCTCAACAAGGTGGGCCATGGCAACATTCACACTTGCTTGAAGCACACCAGAGATCTTTCTCCCACCCTGGACACACATCCACAGATGTAGAAACCCCACTTGCCTAGTTTCCCACAAAACTTTCTGCTTCTAAGGATGTTGGGAGCAGCCAGGCTCTGAAGCTGCAAGGCTATTCAATGCTCACCAAAGTGGGCCATGGCAACATTCACACTTGCTTGAAGCACACCAGAGATCTTTCTTCCACCCTGGACACACATCCACAGATGTAGAAACCCCACTTGCCTAGTTTCCCACAAAACTTTCTGCTTCTAAGGATGTTGGGAGCAGCCAGGCTCTGAAGCTGCAAGGCTATTCAATGCTCACCAAAGTGGGCCATGGCAACATTCACACTTGCTTGAAGCACACCAGAGATCTTTCTTCCACCCTGGACACACATCCACAGATGTAGAAACACCACTTGCCCAGTTTCCCACAAAACCTTCTGCTTCTAAGGATGTAGGGAGCAACCAGGCTCTGAAGCTGCAAGGCTATTCAATGCTAATCAAGGTGGGCCATGGCAACATTCACACTTGCTTCAAGCACACCAGAGTTCTTTCTCCCACCCTGGACACCATTCCACAGACACATAAACCCCCCTTGCCTACTTTCCCACAAAACCCTCTGCTTCTAAGGATGTTGGGAGCAGCCAGGCTCTGAAGCTGCAAGGCTATTCAATGCTAATCAAGGTGGGCCATGGCAACATTCACACTTCCTTCAAGCACACCAGAGTTCTTTCTCCCACCCTGGACACACATCCACAGACATATAAACCCCCCTTGCCTACTTTCCCTGCTTCTAAGGATGTTGGGAGCAGCCAGGCTCTGAAGCTGCAAGGCTATTCAATGCTCAACAAGGTGGGCCATGGCAACATTCACACTTGCTTGAAGCACACCAGAGATCTTTCTCCCACCCTGGACACACATCCACAGATGTAGAAACCCCACTTGCCTAGTTTCCCACAAAACTTTCTGCTTCTAAGGATGTTGGGAGCAGCCAGGCTCTGAAGCTGCAAGGCTATTCAATGCTCACCAAAGTGGGCCATGGCAACATTCACACTTGCTTGAAGCACACCAGAGATCTTTCTTCCACCCTGGACACACATCCACAGATGTAGAAACACCACTTGCCCAGTTTCCCACAAAACCTTCTGCTTCTAAGGATGTAGGGAGCAACCAGGCTCTGAAGCTGCAAGGCTATTCAATGCTAATCAAGGTGGGCCATGGCAACATTCACACTTGCTTCAAGCACACCAGAGTTCTTTCTCCCACCCTGGACACCATTCCACAGACACATAAACCCCCCTTGCCTACTTTCCCACAAAACCCTCTGCTTCTAAGGATGTTGGGAGCAGCCAGGCTCTGAAGCTGCAAGGCTATTCAATGCTAATCAAGGTGGGCCATGGCAACATTCACACTTCCTTCAAGCACACCAGAGTTCTTTCTCCCACCCTGGACACCATTCCACAGACATATAAACCCCCCTTGCCTACTTTCCCTGCTTCTAAGGATGTTGGGAGCAGCCAGGCTCTGAAGCTGCAAGGCTATTCAATGCTCAACAAGGTGGGCCATGGCAACATTCACACCTCCCTCCAACAGGCAAGAGTTCTCTCTTTCTCCCACCCTGGACACCATTCCACAGATACAGAAACCCCCCTTGCCTAGTTTCCCACAGAACCCTCGGCTTCGAAGGATGCCTGCCAGAGATGTTGGGAGCAGCCAGGCTTTGAAGCTGCAAGGCTATTCAATGCTAATCAAGGTGGGCCATGGCAACATTCACAGGCAAGAGTTCTCTCTTTCTCCCACCCAGGACACCATTCTACAGATACAGAAACCCCCCTTGCCCAGTTTCCCACAAAACTCTCTGCTTCTAAGGATGTTGGGAGCAGCCAAGCTCTGAAGCTGCAAGGCTATTCATAGAATCATAGAATCCTAGAGTTGGAAGAGACCTCATGGGCCATCCAGTCCAACCCCATTCTGCCAAAAAGCAGGAATATTACATTCAAATCACCCCTGGCAGATGGCCATCCAGCCTCTGTTTAAAAGCTTCCAAAGAAGGAGCCTCCACCACACTCCGGGGCAGAGAGTTCCACTGCTGAACGGCTCTCACAGTCAGGAAGTTCTTCCTCATGTTCAGATGGAATCTCCTTTCTTGTAGTTTGAAGCCATTGTTTCCTTGCGTCCTAGTCTCCAGGGAAGCAGAAAACAAGTTTGCTCCCTCCTCCTCCCTGTGGCTTCTTCTCACATATTTATACATGGCCGTCATCATGTCTCCTCTCAGCCTTCTCTTCTTCAGGCTAAACATGCCCAGCTCCTTAAGCCGCTCCTCATAGGGCTTGTTCTTCCACATCGTACTTGCTAGGGGAAGCAGAAAACAAGCTTGCTCCCTCCTCCTCCCTGTGGCTTCCTCTCACATTTATACATGGCTCTCATCATATCTCCTCTCAGCCTTCTCTTTTCAGGCTAAACATGCCCAGCTCCTTAAGCCGCTCCTCATAGGGCTTGTTCTCCAGACCCTTGATCATTTTAGTCGCCCTCCTCTGGACCCATTCCAGCTTGTCAATATCTCTCTTGAATTGTGGTGCCCAGAATTGGACACAGTGTGATTCCAGGTGTGGTCTAACCAAAGCAGAATAGAGGGGTATTGCTTCTAAGGATGCCTGCCATAGAAGTTGGAAGCAGCCAGGCTTTGAAGCTGCAAGGCTATTCAATGCTCATCAAGATGGCCCATTACAACATTCACAGGCAAGAGTTCTTTCTTTCTCCCACCCAGGACACCATTCCACAGATATAGAAACCCCACTTGCCTACTTTCCAACAGAACCCTCAACCTTTGAGAACGCCTTTCCTTGTTTCCAACAAACCCCTCAACCTCTGAGAATGCCTGCCACAGATGTGGGCAAAGCGTCAGGAGAGAATGCTTCTGGAACATAACCATGCAGCCTGGAAAAATCACAACCACCCAGTGATGTAGTGTGTTTAGGCAAGTTCTTACTTTTTGGGTTCTTTTTTGGCTAGTTATTATAAGTTTATATTGACACTGTTTTGTTTACTCTGCTGATTGATTTGTTTGTTTGTCTGCTTTATGACGGCATTGAATGTTTGCCACTTGGGTTGGAAACCGCCCTGAATCCCCTCGGAGAGAGAGGGCGGGTTACAAATAAAGTTTGTTTATCATCAGGAGAGAGGCAGGTAATACATTTATTATTCTTATTATTATTATCATCAGGAAAGGCAAATAATACATAAAATTTGTTATTATCATCATCATTATCAGGAGAAGCAAGTACTGTGGCGTAATATAATGTAAAATAGTTCCCATTTGATGAGCCCACACTTTGCCTTGCCAAAAAAGAAAATATGCCACGCAGGTGAAGAGTAAAGAACAAGTAGTTTGCTCTTCGTAATTCAGAACAATGTGATCAGTTGCATCAACTCACATAACGTCCTTTCATGAGAGATTTAAAATGGTCTTTCTTTATCCATGTGGATAAACACCTTCAGCAGCTCATGAAGCGAGAGCACACTCCAAAATATGTCTCTCCCTGCTTCTCTCTATTTCCGTCTCTGCACCTGTATAGCTCAAGCCTGAACAAAAACGTAATAGTAACCAAAAGTCCCAGGCTCAGCTTGTTTCCAAGCATTGCCCAGCCAATCAGCTTCATGCATCTTATTTTACAGTTGAAACACACGCTGGTAATAAATAAAATTTGTTATTATTCTTAGCACCATTGTCGTCAGGAGAAGCAGATAATAAATACATTATTATTATTATTGGTAACCCCAGTGGTGCAGTGGGTTAAACTGCTGAGGTGCTGAACTTGCTGACCGAAAGGTTGGTGGTTCAAATCCAGGGAGCTGGGTGAGCTCCTGTTGTTAGCTACAGCTTCTGCCAACTTAGCAGTTCAAAAACATGCAAATGTGAGTAGATCAATAGGTAACAGCGCTCCATGCAGTCATGCCGGCTACATGACCTTGGAGGTGTCTACGGACAACGCTGGCTCTTTGGCTTAGAAATGGAGATGAGCATCAATAGGTACCGCCCTAGCGGGAAGGTAACGGCACTCCATGCAGTCATGCCGGTCACATGACCTTGGAGGTGTCTATGGACAACGCCGGCTCTTCGGCTTAGAAATGGAGATGAGCACCAGAGTCCCAGATTCAGACATGACTGGACTTAATGTCGGGGAAACCTTTACCTTTACCTATTACTATTGTCATAATCGCTAGTAGAAGCAGGTAATAAATACATCATCATCATCATCATCACCACTAGTAGAGGCAGGTAATAAATAAAATCTGTTGTTGTTGTTGCTATCATTATTATGTAATGTAATAGTAACCAAAAGTCCCAGGCTCAGCTTGCTTCCAAGCATTTCCCGACCAATCATCTTCATGCATTTTATTTTACAATTGAAACACATGCAGGTAATAAATAAAATCTGTTGTTGTTGTTGTTGCTATCATTATTATGTAATGTAATAGTAACCCAAAGTCCCAGGCTCAGCTTGCTTCCAAGCATTGCCTGACCAATCATCTTCATGCATTTTATTTTACAGTTGGAACACACGCAGGTAATAAATAAAATCTGTTGTTGTTGTTGTTCTTGTTGTTGCTATCATTATTATGTAATTTATTTATTTACTTTATTTGTATACCGCACTCTCTCAGCCCGTAGGCGACTCAGTGCGGTTTTAGTAATTATGTAATGTAATAGTAACCAAAAGTCCCAGGCTCAGCTTGCTTCCAAGCATTTCCCGACCAGTCATCTTCATGCATTTTATTTTACAGTTGAAACACACGCAGGTAATAAATAAAATCTGTTGTTGTTGTTGTTGTTGCTATCATTATTATGTAATGTAATAGTAACCCAAAGTCCCAGGCTCAGCTTGCTTCCAAGCATTTCCCGACCAATCATCTTCAAATAAATGACTGGTTGTCCTGACATGACAAATAAATAAATATCTTCATGCATTTTATTTTACAATTGAAACACACGCAGGTAATAAATAAAATCATTGTTGTTGTTGCTATCATTATTATGTAATGTAATAGTAACCAAAAGTCCCAGGCTCAGCTTGCTTCCAAGCATTTCCCGACCAATCATCTTCATGCATTTTATTTTAAAGGCGAAACACACGCAGGTAATAAATAAAAGGGTGCATCTACACTAGACAGGCTGTTGGGAATGATGGGAGTTGAAGTCCAAAACACCTGGATGGAGGGCCGAAGTTTGCCCGTGCCTGATCTACGCTGCACCCCAGCCTGCTCTTCCTCTCGCTGGACCCTGAGGAAGGGTCCAGTTCAGGGTCAGAGGGGCTTTGTGGTCCGCTGCCCTCTCCTTTTGGCCAGGTGCCCCTTTCCCCTCCTTGGCTGCCTCTGGCCCTGGCCTGGCTCCTGTTAATGAGTACCTGGGGCAGGTGGGAGGGAGGGAGGGAGGATGGAGGGGGGGGGGTCATTGACCCCTGGCTTGCTTGCTTCCTTCCTCCCTYGCTCCCTCCCAGCCGGACAGAGGGCCATCTCCTTCTGGACTTCTGGGCCAGAGATGTGGGTGGGCCTCAGCCTGGCCGTGGCCTTCCTGCAGGTGGGGGCGCTCCAAGCAGGTAAGGGGGAGCAGCCCAAGGGGGGGGGGGCAGCAGAAGGCTGGATGTGCCCCCCCCTCACCCAAGAGCAAGGGTCACTTGGATCATGTGATTCCAATGTTTATACTTGGTGTTTTCATTCTGTGTTTTGATTCTGTGTTCTAAATGTTGTCTTATTTGTCATGTTTCCATGGTTTTGTTGCTTTAATGCATCGTTAATATGCTTATTGTTTAGATATATGGTTTGGCCACTCAGAGGCGGCCCTAGGTAATTTTCAACGGTAAGCAAACAGTATTTTGGTGCCCCCCACCTACCCAATCAATCACTGATATATATTTTCTGTTTGTCGTGGGAGTTCAGTGTGCCCTGTTTGGTTCAATTCCATCCTTGGTGGAGTTCAGAATGCTCTCTGATTGTAGGTGAACTATACATCTCAGTGACTACAATTCGCATATGTCAAGGTCTGTTTTCCCCCAAGAGCGCCCCTGGGCAAAATCAACTCTACTGCAAATGCTTACTTTGCGTAAGGGTTGAGCCGCCCCTGTGGCCACTATATATATATATGGTGGCCAAACCATATATCTAAACAATAAGCAT